CTGCCGGGGGGCCTTAAAGGTCCAATCACCCAGCATTGGCTCAACCCCCAGGATCCCCTTTTCCCCGGACACGGCAAAGCCACGCACGGCTAGGCGTGGGAGGGAGCCGAAACGCCCCCGTTAGCTCGGGTCCGTGGTGTCGCTACACACCAAACGCCTACTTGCGCAGGCGCCCCTGCGGGGTCTCGTCACCTTGACTTGCCAGGATGGCTCGTCTTCATCGCCGGGGTATTGTAGACAGGAAGAAGATTATGCGCAGCAGTGGGGCACGCCTTTAGCGAGAGGAGCGAAGCGCGAGCGTTTCTTCCGAGGGCTGTGATTCCTGGGTCCGTTGCTGCCGCCCGCTTTCCGCATTGATAGACCTGCTGTTCAAATGCACCAATTTTTGGTTGAGTGGACAGCTGCTGATGTGGATTAGAATGATTACAAGTTCATCGGGACTGCACACACAAGCTAAACTTGACTGCGCAACTCGCACAAATGTTGAACAGTTGTACTATCCAAAAGGGTGCGTTTGGTTAAGAAAACACAAAAAAATGCCTGGGAGGACTGTTTATTGTAATAGTACAGTTCAGAAAAACACCGACTTGTAGGCACCAAAAGATTCACATCTTTTGGTGCATGACGCCATTACATGCTTCTGTCACGCAATTTTCTTCTGTCACGCAATATTATGCGCTAAGAAGATTCCTTCCACTACGTGCCATTCATATAGTGTTTTTTTAAAGCAGTTTCAACCATTATCGTGGCTCCAATGTAGAATTCTTGTTTGCACGAAGACAGCTTTGGTTTGATCTTCGCTGAGACCCTGAAAGTTTAAGTATTTTTTTCTATTTTCATCTTTCTAAATTTTTCGGTCAGAGACAAGATGACGATGCTTAGCTCACGACCAATGACGCCCCCACTCATCCTGACGCCGACGCCGGAATTTCTGCAAACATTGCCCCTCATAATAACGTCGTGGTTTTGGAAAGACAAATCCTCTTCTATTATCATTACTATTGTTTATTGCAAAACTATAGCCCGCTAATGGAAGTAGTGTGCTATCCTCGATTGAATATAGATCAACTTGATGTTATTACAGTGATTGCTGTATACGGCTTAGAGACAAGAAAAACCATTCGGCACTAGCGGTTACCATTGGCTATAACTATTAGTTACGTCGTTCTCAACGTCATACCCAAGCATGTGCATGGTTGTCTGTGATGTGAGTGACTTCGTCTACCTATACGCCGCCGTGGCGCCGAGCACGCGCTCATCAGTGTTTACTGAGAGCTTCCACATGGGCAATCCCGAGATCTTATGAACTCCCGAGCAGCGGGCACCTTTAGAAGAGTGTGGACAGTGGTAATGTGAGCAATCTCACATTTACCGGGCCGACGCTGCAGTCCGCGCAGAAAAACAGGCCTGGGAGGCCGAGTTCCGGTAGAAACTGCGTAGCAATGATACGGCAGCCTTTCAAGCCTCGCTAAAATACGAACGGGAATGAAGTGCCAGCGGCGGGAGGATCCTGCAAACAACACCGTCGAGTCAGCTCGTGATGTCAAATGTTTGCAACAATGGCACACCGAACAAGCGGCGTTGTGGGTACAACAGCGTCAATGCGGTGATCGTGGGAGCGCGTTCGCCGGGGAGAACGCCCGCTTACAGCGGGAGTTTGCCTAGCGGCGCTTTGGCTTCAGCTGCGACGTCTGTGACTGCCTGTGGTTTTCCGCACACACGCTAGACCAATGAAACGGAAATGTGAGGCCCGATGGGTCACCGTGTGACAGCAGTGAAAGCTCGCACTAACTACTGAGATGAACGCATTGCGAAGATCATTTAACCGCTAATTACACTCCTCCATGACGGTGATCATGCCAGGCACAGAGTGTGACATGTAAAATAAACACTGTGGCAAAGCCAAGCCAAACGTGTGTCTAAGCGCATTAAGAAGCACGAACATGTAAGCAAAAATTAGACCATCTCGTGCTAAAGGGAACCATGTGTAGATGCGAAACGATGTGCATGGTTCGATCTCGTCCTCCCCAAAAAAGTATTTAAATACAGGAATAATAACGTGCTTTCAACAGACGTTTCTTTTTTTTTAGGTGCATGCTGATGATTATGCAGTAAACAAGAAGAATGCATAGCCAAAATAGGAATTAAAAATTTCCTGACAATTTTGATACACTCTAATCTATTGCTGAGCGCAGCTATGTAGGTGTTACAATTTTGCAATACTTTGAAGCAAATTTTCTGCTTCGGTGGTGCAGACCTCTGGATTATGACAAAGGTAGCGTTGCGCCTCTGGCTTGCTTACCAAGAGCGGCAGACGACCAGATGAGTCGCTCATTGTTGAGAAAGAACTTTCAGAGACTCTCTTCTACATAGGTACATTGTTCATATTCTGAAGAGAACGTCATGAGTGCCGTAAGTGGCGTGGACGATTCTGTGCAGCCCATTACACAGAGCCAATGCATATGGAGCGTATCGCCGCGGCTTCCAGGAGACCGCGGGAGAAGGCGCGCGGGTGCGTTCCACAACAGTCTACGCACGAAACACATTGTAGCCACACTCATGACGGCGCACACTGCTATGGCACAGTGGGTGGCCGCCGCGGAACTTTTTAGAGGTGAAGCTCCTTCAGGCGTAGGTTTGTCCGCCGTAGTAGTTGTCTGTCGTAGCCACCCATATACGTGAAGTGTTCACTAGATGGAACTTGCATCGCTAGTAATCGAACTGATTAGCAGATGGGGTCAAGGTACGTGCTGCGTTTGAGATGATTCGATAAGCTACATACATACATACATACATACATACATACATACATACATACATACATACATACATACATACATACATACATACATACATACATACATACATACATACATACATACATACATACATACATACATACATACATACATACATACATACAGAAGGACGGACGGATGGACGGGCGATACGCGCGTATGGACTGGTCAAAACTCACGGTGGATTCACGGTTTCCCTATGTACCTCCAGAGCTCCGCCCATTCATCATCATTCACTCGTTGGTATTTGATGGAGGCGAAAATGCTGTAGGCCCGTGTGCTGATATTTGGGTGCACGTTAAGAACCCCAGGTGGTCAAAAGTTCCGACGCCCTCCACTAGGGCGTCTCTCCTATTCATACAGTGGTTTTTTGGGCGTTAAACCCTACATATCAATCAAACACTCCGTTGATACGCTGTCATTTTTTGTCTCGACTGTCATTGTATTCTTCTCGCGCTCTTTTCGCTACCGCCGTCTTTCATCTTTCACGGCTCTCCGCGTCCGCTCTTTCTCATTGTCGTTCACTCTTCCGGATACTTCGATGTCCACGCCACGCAACGCAGAAATGGGCACTGAAGAGATGCGCTCTAAAACTATAACAATATGAATTCATCACCGTTGTCCATGTCGTCGGACGGCATTCTAACCAAAGGAATTCGCATCACTTCTACACTATGGGCACTGTACGAACTCCGGAGCAGAGCTGAGAATTCACCTGAGTCTGTTGACTCTTCACTTGCCTTGCCTTTGTCCGAGTCTAAGCGGTGGGTTCGTCTGTGTTTGTTGGCGCCCGGCGTCTGAGTATTCCAAAGCTGGTGGTTGCCTCATAATTCCCGGCGTTTGGCCTTAACATTTCTCTTCTGTTCTGTGTCAAATTTTCAGCTCTGAGTAAGCGCTATCGCTTTGATAGCTCATACAGACGAATTAGCGAGTCAGTGACGCAGATGTGTAAGGCCTCTGAATAGCAAGCGTTCACGGGCAAGGGCTCCCTGGCATTGCAAAGCGTGCATTTAATTGGTATTTATTGACAGAAAAGGAAGACTGCATTTGATGAAGTGGCACCATCTCTAGGCGTATGTAGAAAGTGACGTGGCGTGTATATATAGTGCCTTTTTTTGACCTATTTTGAAGTTGACCTGCAGAGATTTCTATTGACCAGTGTTGGTACTTTAAGCATGATGCAGGGCAATAAAATGAGACAACAGCCAGTGCTAATAAAGTGATCCGCACTCTCAACGTAGAAAATGGGATGGTACTACACAAACAACGGCTCGAGAGCGGATCTGCAACTGGCACAAAGTTCGCGTAACCAATTTTTTTTTTATGTACGTCCTGTATGTACAATCATCCTGACACCTACATGAGGCTCCTCATGTAGCTGGCCTCATCAGGAGCATACTCATTGTCACTAGAGACATGAACCTTTATTAGTGCATGCGACCGGACATTGTAATCGATATTGAATTTCCAGGTAATTTGAGCTAATGCATGCTTTTTACATAGTGCTTATCGATGTCTTGCGAGAAGTCCGGCCTTTAATTTTGCATATCCTTATGCAGTACCTATTGCGTAGAACATTTTTGCGTTAGGTGTTGGAGACTTGATAACATCATTCACATTTTTTTGCAATACAATTATCGCTGTTAATTTCAAGGATAAGTAATATTTACGTATATTTGCGTAGTGAATTCGCTAATTACTTATGGCCGTACACTAAAACATATTACTTTCGTAATAGACATTAAGATGATAAGTGGAGCAACCAACTAACAATTTAGTGCAGCTTTCTCGAAGAGAACGCAAGACGGAATAAACAACGTTATACTTGTTTCTTCCATCGTACGTCCTACTCGTTTGAGGTGCACTACATTTCATCATGAATCATAACAGAAATATTCAGTGGTATTCCCATATCCATTGAAGGTAATAAAGCTACGAGCATTGTACGCAAAATTCACACGGATTAGTAAATACAGGGAGTAATCCTGTTCCAAATAAAGCAAGACACTTTTGAATAAGATGGCTGTTGAGTTGTAATAATTTTTAAAACTGCGGCTGGAGGTATACTGGTAATAAGAATATTGACATTCGTATTGATGGTGTTTTAAGGATGCAGTTTATGTGAGGCAGCCTAAATTTTATGGTACACCATACGCCTTCAGCGAGCAATTATACACTGAAGACCTGTTAACAAATGTACAGGAAAATACCACCCGGACCGACGGCACTTGGCAGCTGCTGACATGCACCGCAAGTATGGCCCGGTGGTAGCCGAGCGCCTCCCGGGTCGATACTCGCTGGTGCATCTCTTCAGCGCCGATGACTTCCGGACGTTGTACCAGGAAGAAGGCAAGATGCCTTTTCGTATGGGAGCCACGGCTTTCAAGAAGTACCGAGAGAGCCGACCTCAGTACTACGCAAACATCGGCATCCTAAACTTGTAAGTATAGCTCTTTAAATCTTTTCTTACCTTTATGATAAATCTGCATTTTCGACCTTTGCTTCATTTCAAAGCGTATTGTTTCATGTTGGCCCATTGAGCCTTTTTCTGGTGTATAGCTCTATTTACACTGCCGTTACGAAGGTTGATCTCTATGATCCAGCCTCTGCATTTGTCCTGCAGTATAATTCCAGTTATCGGACATGTGTGTTCTTGAGAAATATTTGATTTTCATACTAATAAAACGTCCGAAATGATATTCAGTTGTAGATCTCACATGAGAAAATACATAAATAGGGGAAAGAACACGTTTTTTGAATTCCCACGATGCTTTGTGATAGCGGCCCCTATATACTCGTCTCCGTGGATCATTTGTGAATGGCGGCAGAGCTGATTTTTGTTTTTACATGTCTTTCCCGAGCATGTCTTTCCCGGGCTTGCATGTTCGAAAAGTAAATGAGAGAGAGAGAGAGAGAGAGAGAGAGAGAGAAATTTATTAAAAGGCTGCGGCGTTGGTCTGAACACTTGGGCTTGCCGTTATAATAAATTACATAAAATCGACGGATGCTCGAGCTTCGCCTTAACAGCATATACCAAACGCTTAATTAGGTCTCTTGCTCATCGTCCTCTGAAAATGCCACTTACGTTATGCATGCACGTTGTAATAAGTTATGACCCCCACTTGGTGTCACTGGATGGGTTAAACCCCCGTAATCACTTCAACTGGTCTAAATGGGATCCCGTAAACATCCATGGCTGAAAATTACTGATATAGGAGAAAGCAGAGCTGCTTCAAAACATGGTCGAGCAAACAATATATGAGAACTGGCAATACAGCATATGTTCTTCAGTGTATTTGGCTAATGCAGGTAATTAACCAGGGTTGTTTGACTTCAGTATAGATTTTGTAGAACCAGCTTGCTTTCTGACCTTTTCTGTTTCATATCGGATGGGAAGCTCAGCGTTCACGTATGGACTTTTTTACGGGAAGGAGGATTTACACCTTTCTGGGCTGCTGCACGACAGTACAAAAGCCGACGTCGCAGCCTCCACAGTGCATTTTTTTGGGGGTCACGCGTGCTACCAACAGCCCAGAGAGGACTATGGCGGCGCTCAGGGAGCCTTGAGTGAAAAAGGTCGATGTGAATGGGGAGAGAATATATGTGCTTATTTGAATAGACAGATGATCAGAGGCGTGCTTCGTCCTAGATGCCTATATTTCCGGCTGCGTCCTTAGCTCTTACGACCAGGTTTAGCTGGTCGTGGAGGTTGGAGACTGACCAAGTGAGTTTGCCAAAGCTCGTTATCGTCGTGAAAGTTAGGGGTAGACAGACATCTCAGCATTTTTATGGATAATGACATCAAGCATGTACGCTATTTTACGTGATATGGTCTGCCAGTGGTTCTGTGCAGCTGGGTTCCATAAATGCTAGTTTAGATCGCTTGGTAAATTAGAATATTTTTTCTTTTGTGTCATTTACATTTTTCAATGACATCTTCTTTGTAAGAGGGCCGTTTGCGAAACTGAGTATTTAATAGTATTACATGAAGGCTCCGCAATGTTGACGTCGAGCTCAACGTTACTTAATTTAAAACGTTTCACTTGAAGAGACAAATTGCAGTGTAATTTTCCTATAGTTTTTTCTAAGAGGCGTTCAACAGCTATGCACGAGGAGTGGTGTTCACCATTAAGTTCAAAGAACTTAGCTTTTAAAAGTGTAGTCACACTTGTACAGCAGAAGCTGTATATGGCTTGGAGAAATGAAAATCCCTTCGGCAGCGCTGTCACGAGTGGTCTCCATTGGCTGTGTTATCAGTCACATCGTTCGCAGCATCGTACCCAGCACGGGCACTACTGTTTGCGTTGTGGGGGACGTTGTCAATCCCGACGCCGCCGCAGCGCCAACCGCGCGCAATTCAGTTTCTCCTAAAACCTTCCACATGAATATGCCACGGGCAGCGCTAGAAGAGCACCGGAAGGAGAAACGTGAAAGAGATCGATATCGCAGGGCCGATGGTGCAGTCCGGGCACCAATTGTTTGATATGTGGGGTTTAACGTCCTAAAACCACCGTATGATTATGAGAGACGCCGTAGTACAGGGCTCCGGGAATTTCGACCAGCTGGTGTTGCTTAACATGCATCCAAGTCTGAGCACACAGGCTTACAAGATTTCCGCCTCCATCAGAAATGCAGCCGCCGCAGCCGGGATTTGATCCCGCGACCTGCGGGTCAGCAGCCGACTACCTTAGCCACTAGACCACTGCGGCGGGGCAGTCCGTCCGGGCACTAAAACAGGCTCAGGAGTCTCAGTGCGGGAAGCAACTACATACCGATGATCCGGCAGCCTTCCAAGTCGCCCTAATCACGAACGGGAATGCAAGCACTGATGGTGGGTGGATCCTGCGAACCCGGTGCTGAATTAGCTTACGATGTCAGACATTTGCGAAGTCTTTGCGGCGTCAATGTGATAATACGGGAGCGTGTTCGCTGAGGCGAACACCCGCTAGTCAGCGGATGCTTTTTCAAAGGCACATCGGCTTCGACTGCGACGTCTGTGACCACGCGTGGTTCGAGAACAACCACTGTGATTAACGCACTGTGCAACGCATCTAACCGCTCATCACACTCCTCCATGAGCATGATCGTGCGATGCGCAATGTGTGTCATTTGAAGTAAACACTGCAGTAAAGTCAAGCCACGCATGTGTATAGCCTCATTAAGAAGCACAAATATGTTACCAAAACTTGTGAAAGGCTTAAGTGTCATGCCAGGTTGAAGGCACTGCTAAACACCAGGGTCACTTTTTTCAGCTTTCGCTGGTTAATCATTTGTACGGAGTACTTGAGCGGTGTTTTTATTGCATAGATTTGCTTTATGATATCAATACATATTAGATAAAATTGGGTAGCTGTGCTTCCTCCATAAGGTCCAGGAGGGACTATAGTTCTGACCTTATATCCATCGGTGCAAGTCAGGTGGCCTGATGTGCTAAAGTCTCGCACACCCTATCTGGCGTTGACGAGCCGTTTGTGGCCCAGGGCATGTCCATAGGAGGTGGTTCAGGTCTGCTTCCCGTAACGTTAGGCACCATGAAAACACAGGTTATAATTTTTTTAAATAAATAGCAGCAACAGTGCCTTAAAGGCACACTTACTCCTGGATTTAAGCTTGAAATTTCAATCAGATTTACTTGTCACTATGTGATATTGTGCGTGGCAATGTTAGGTCATCGTTGTGGCCGAGGACAAAACACGCACCTGTTACAAGCTTTGCATCGGGCAGCCAAAAGAGGCTACAACACTTTGTGCAATCATGCGACTTACTGGTCTGTCTTATCGCGTGGAAACATTATATGGTTAAGCAAACTCTGTTGATTTTGATTCCGTTTTGAAAGTAAAAGAGCAAAGAAAAAGGCTAGGCAAGGTACTTGGACACTGATAAAAGATATATGTACAGATATATTAATAAAAACCTCTTTTTCATTCGAATATTTCTTCGATACGTGAGGACATTTGAGACAAGAATATCCTTGAATGCTAGCTTATACCACGAATCCTAGGCCCGTGTGCTCATATTTGGGTGCACGTTAAAGAGCCCCAGGTGGTCGAAATTTCCGGAGCCCTCCACTACGGCGTCTCTCATAATCATATGGTGGTTTTGGGACGTTAAATCCTACATATCAATCATTATACCATTAATCACGCCCAAACTCCAACGTTGAAATAACAGCGACGTTTGGAGTGTCCGATTTTACACGAAAAAAACATTAAGGCCAATGCTCGCCACACCAGAGAAATCTGCACTGGTCTTGAAATGATCGCAGGCAGGGCCAGGAGTGGTACAATGTGCGTTCGAAGACGCAGCCATACACCCTACGGCCGCGCACGATCATGTCCTACGTGCCGGGCATGGATCTGATTGCTGAGGACGCCCTGCAGCTCATCCACAAAACGCGAGACGACAAGAAAGAAGTGGACGACTGCTACACGATACTGTACCGCTGGGCTCTCGAAAGTGAGTATAGCTGTCAAATATACTAAAAGCGCGTGGGGCTCGATTGCTTTTGTTGATTCATAGGCTTACAAACTGCAAACGTGGTGATATTCTCACATGATGCAGCAAGTACCAATGGGATGGACTTGCCATAAACTCTGGGCAAGCTGGTATCTATGCGTTCGTACATAAGTCTTAATGAAAGAAGAAGAGTTTACACTAGACGTGTAAAGCTTAAAAGAATTGGGCAGATCTCACGTACATGGGAATCAACTTTATGCGAAGCACGCAGAGGGAATGTGACCATGTTGCATTTATTTTTATTGAGCGACGCGTACGCTAAATATATGTACAATTGTAGCACGCGGATACATATGTCGAAGAGAACATGTATGTTGAAGAGTTGCGGATATTTGTATAACCAGCTTTCCACTTGCACAACGATGTCATCTTGAAATGTGCTTTAGCAACACCACACGCTGAAATGAAGCGCTGATGCTCGCGAAGATTCTGGCCCTTGACACTATTACATAAAGCGATTTCATTGCATGGGACCGCACCACAATTGACGTTAACCCGACGTGACAGCTGTGTGAGAGGAGTACATATGTTTATAAAATTGGGTAGCCAGCAATGCAACCACTATTGACTTTTCAAGAAAATGAGCGTTTATTCGAAAAGTAGTTCCGAGACCTGGCGTAGCGCTGTGGTAGAATGCTTGACTGCCACGCTTAATGCTTGGGTTCTATTCCAGGGGACCCTGTAGTTTATTATTTGCATTCGTCCGGTGGCCAACGCTGCCTATATATGTCAGGTTTTTCTTAACACTGACATTTATTCTATGCCTTCGTTAAGTCCACGCTACCGATGTCGGGTATTGCTTAACGCTCACGCGTTAAAATTGCCCATGTGTGGTCTCGTCATTCTTGGGTACATAATAAGTGTCAATCACCTGTGGCACATACCCGCTTACCAGCGGTACATACGCGCCCATGAGTATGTGCCACTGTCTGGCGGGAAGTGTTGGACGACGTACGCGACGGGTTTGTGACATTATTCATGTCTTGACCAGCACGTCATATCCGTCAAACCATCTTACCCTCCCATGCTAATTTTGGTTCTCGCCAAGTTAAGGGGATGACCACGAGAGCACCCAAACGTAAGCAGCTAGATAGATAGATAGATAGATAGATAGATAGATAGATAGATAGATAGATAGATAGATAGATAGATAGATAGATAGATAGATAGATAGATAGATAGATAGATAGATAGATAGATACGCTCGAAGTCGCCAAAGTTCGCTAAGAAAGGCTCTGCATTTAAAAGCAGTGAAGTCGTCTGATCTTAGGGGTTTAGCGTGGCTATTTTGGCTGAGGCGGGATAGACATGATGCGGATGCGATTTGCCGTGCGGCTGTTTGTGCCAACAGCCGCATCTGATAGACAACCAACAGGATCCAACACTCTAAGCAGAAAAGGACTAAAGTGGCGTATGCCATTGGTTCTTTAGTGAACTAAATGGGCTGCCACACATTTTGAACCCTCCACAACTGCAAAGGTTCAACTGTTACCCCCCCCCCCCAGCATTACTCCACTTGGTTTAAATGGTGGTCCTCGTAGAATGCTCCTGTTGTACTAACAGTTGAACAGTCTGGACGAATGAAAGAAAAAGGCGACCATGCACTTGTGGAGTATATTTTGTGTTCATTCCAATTCAATCAGCACTGAAGATCGCAGTATATTGGTCATGCAACACACAAAACTATATACATGCGCGATATTATTTCAAAGCAAAACACCGCTATCACTGACCACCTGCGCTACAATAGAGTTCAAACTATCGGATATATATAGCACAGTATTTTGACCTCCCATGTAGTGCCAGTGGGCGACATCTTCTGTGCTTAAAAAAGCGATAGAGATTGACACCGTAACGTGAAATTTTACATGGTCTAATTCGCAGCACAGGAGCGCACCAATCTTTCAACTTGAATCCATCTAATCTTCAACATCCTTCCAGACAGAGAAAACAAACTATCAGCTGGCATTCGATCATGTCGGCGGAACCAGCATTCGTCATTTTGGTGCACGAGTCCGCAAACACAAACACAGCAGCGGCGCTTGTGCAGGAAAGCCGGCGAAGCAGCCAAGCGCCCCACCGATGCCTTACCACGTCGGCTTGCAGACGGCGTCGCTAGGCTTACGAGGAGTACGGCTAAACGACCTCCGGCGATCGCAGAATGCGGCTCGTCGGGAATTTTTCGTCGTCGTTATTTTATAGTCACAAATGAACAATAGGGTAGGCGTCGGCTGTTCGCGGTGTATTACGAAGTGATGCCAATATCTGTATACTTACAGCAATGAGACCGTTCGCACGCGTGGTTCTTCCATCCTGCTGGTAAGTCGCTCGCGGTGCACCGCCGGCTGCACGATTAGTCGTATCCGCGATCGCCTTCACCCTTGATTTTTAACAACGATTGTCGCATGGAAAAAAAGACATACCTTTGTCTGAGCTTCAATGTAGGATGCATTATTTTCTGCAAACTAAAGTGTATGCGGCGTTTCCTTCGCGTGTGCCGGCAATGCACTCACACCGGCAGCCAGCATTTATACCGATGATGTACGAAGCCTACTTTTTCCATACATTGCTTTGAAGTTGTGGCCAGTGACTGAGCGTGTACACGACCACTGGCGAACAGCTTACTTTTATTAGCGTTGTCAGTGTTCTTCGTAGTTCGAACTGATTAAGCACATTGAAGCGAGTCATTCATACTGCCCGTGCTCGCAGGCTCACTTGTTTTTGGCCCGCCCATGCCGGCATGATGAAAACGCGAGGGTGCTTGCTGTGTGCACCGAGTGCGTGTTGAACTTGCCTCCCATAGCAACTTCTACTCGTTTCAAAGTGCTTCGCTTTCAGAGTGGCGTATAGCCGATATAACTCGTTTTCGTGATCGCCGACCGTGCCGAGCATTGCAGTGCAGCATCGACAGAAAGCGATCGCGGCGCTGTTACCCTCCTCATTGCCGGGCGTTTGCGCACGACACGCACTGTCACGCATTTAGTCCCTGTTGGACGAACCGTTCGTCCGTTGGTTTAACGACTGCAGTTAATCCAACTTTGCCGAATTTTGGTTTACAATGAACAGCGAGCGGCGACGATTCGCACGCCATGCGCGCATCCAATTTGCTGAATGTAGCCGGGCGGCAGCCGCGCTGGTCTGGCGGTCGCAGCCAATGGCAACGCGGGAGCTTGACAAGGGGCACCAGTGGTGGGCGCCCGTCGCAAGTTTCTGCCTCACCGCTCCGATCGCCCTTGTATTTTGAATATCGCTGTTGCCAGTGGAATCAAAACATTGGATAAACTGTTTTCGATGCGAAATAACTCATGAATGAATAAAGTGATGCTTGAAAAGTGCTGATTCTGCAAGGCGACGCCCATTTCCGAACTAACAACGAGATGTCGAGCCGTGATGGAGGCCCATTTCGCAAACAGTGGCACCGCCGGTCTCAGCGAACCAGCCCGCCTCGTTTCCACCTTTGCTGTAAACATCGAGGCCGTCGATTGAACCAGTTGCATGTGTGAAAGCGTTATGTAAGTGTGCGAGTTTTTTATCGTGTTGGTAAAAAAAAAAAGCGCTCGACAAAGAGCTCACGTTGGAAAGAGAGCGGCGCTACCGAAAACGTCGGCTTTGCTAGGCCTAGGCTCGGAGTCGATAATGAATGTGAGCTGTCGATTTTCGTCACTTGACAAGGCGTAGCTTTGTTCGCGATATTATTAGACAACAAGGCATGGTTGTGGAGCTCCTTTATTTTACGCTTAATAAAGAGGATACGATATCTTCCGAGTGTGCAAGCTGAGGGGCCGTATGTGGGCGGAACCTCAGCGCTGATGGCTGTTCGTCCAATGTGTCGTGAATCGTCGTACGTGGCGTGCGGCCTCGCGCGCCGCATCGGATGCCGAATCGCACCATGTGTCTTCCGCTTGATGCGACGCTTTCCGTAGCCAGAATACACTCGAACCACGGACTGCTACAAACCATGCAAGAATTTCCGAGCTACAGCATCAGAACTAACGTGTAAGTGTGGTTGCGACAGCACCGATAGAAGCACGGGCTTTCCATTTATCGCACTCAGCTCGCATGGCGTGACCGATTCGCACACTGACTCCTTCGGTGGGTACAGCCACTGATCTCCACTAGGGTTGCTGGATGGCGCTTCACCGCTGTCGCGGCCTGGCGCGCGCACGGCCACCGGAAGTTCAATGGCTCGTCCCGGAAGTTGAGCGTCTGCTACGCTTCTCAACCGCTGATCAGCGTTCCCATTGACGCATTTTGCATTTTGTTCTCACTTAATTGCATTTTGGTGATACACATCGCGTTCAGATCACAACTTATGCTATACCGAAACATGCGACGTTAATATGAAGCAGTTTATAATTGCGAAGGAGAACGAAAAGGTCACTTAGGTATCGGTTCGAGAGGAGACGACGCAGCTCGAACGGGATTTATGCTGACGAGTGGACTTTATGATTCGTGTTAGGATGCACGTCTTACAATAAATTAACAGTCATGAAGGGGCTTTTATTAGTCGAAAACAATAAATCAACAGCCGTGAAAGGCCTTGGATTATCGGAAAATTAACTAGCTAAGCGAGTTCGATAACAACGCGGAGGAAGCTGCCTGAAACAGAATAACCGATTTGATGTTTGCTACGTGCCGGCTAAAAAAAAAATCCTGAAATGGTTGTGCGCAGCTTGCTCCTGTTTTGCCTTTGAAGGTTAGTACATCGGAACCCTTTACAATATGAATTCAAGTATATGTGTGTAACCAGCAGGTCAAAGCAAATTCTTTTAAAACGCGCTTTCTCATCATTGCCTGACAAAAGGTATCGCCCTTTCTCTTGAAGGAAAATTTCTAGCTTATGAACACATTTATTGCTAGTTTTCAGGAACACCCACCCATTGCGCACACGCAGTGCCTAATGCAAACTGGTCTATCCAGATTTAGATTTGCCTAGTGGTTACGGCTTCAATTGGACATTTTAGTGTAACCCTTAAAGAATGATAAAGGAGGACGCGTGGAACTGCTTCATTCGAATTGAGAGGCCTGCAATTGTACGAAAAACTCATTTACTCAGAACGTTTGTGCACGTGTCCTTGTTACTGACAATGCAGTGCCTGGAGATGGTTGGCAATAGTGCATGCAGGTTAATATTTAAGTACGCTTCCTGCCTCGCCATTGAAAACAAAACAGGCATACATGTACAAAGATGGATTTCAGGTGTTTATTGTACTCGAAGCACTTAAGAACTGCCACGTCACGTCACTTCACTGGTGACTGAAAATAATCAACTCTGCAAGTCGCTTGAAGCACTTAAGAACTGCCACGTCACGTCACTTCACTGGTGACTGAAAATAATCAACTCTGCAAGTCGCTTGAAGCACTTAGGAACTGCCACGTCACGTCACTTCACTGGTGACTGAAAATAATCAACTCTGCAAGTCGCTTGAAGCACTTAAGAACTGACACGTCACGTCACTTCACTGGTGACTGAAAATAATCAACTCTGCAAGTCGCTTGAAGCACTTAAAAATGCCACGTCACGTCACTTCACTGGTGACTGAAAATAATCAAATTTGCAGTTCGCTTGCGGATGTTTGGTCCTGTTATCTTTGCAGTAGCTTGCTTCGCGGCTTGGTGCATCCTGATCTTCACGTAGCAGCCAATGACACATTTAACAAGACGCACAAAGTGGTTGGAGTCAACTGCTGATTCGAACATATGGCCATGCAGTTCCGGATAGAGCTTGTTCGTGCTCAGCACTTTCGAAAGTTCTGCCATAACCTTGGCTGTCACAGTGTCAGCTGCATTCTTTTTTGGAAGGCCTCCATCGTGAACCTTTTCCTGCAATCGAACAGCTTTTTCAGTCAGCTGACAGACGTACGTTGTCGATGACGACGGCTTGGAAAGACCTCCACGGTTTTTTCTGTTCAGGAGTGCCGAACCACATGTCTCGGCAATGGTGGCCGAGTAGCATACTGCGCAAGGTATTTTACGTTTGACCATTCGGCAAAAAAACCCTGCGATGTAACCAACGACGTTTCCAAGGTACGGAGACAGTGCAGGGAGATCCTCAACTATGACATCCAGCTCGCTCTCGTCGGGTAGGTCTATGCCTTGCATGAGGTCTTGTGTGCCGCTTCGCTTTGCTGTGGCCATATCGAGCTCATCGTTGGAGCAAAACTGACTGCTCACGTACAGTATGCGCGTATTGTCAAGAGACTCACAGTTCCCTCGCCCACCCTTCACCTGGTTGTGTGTGACAAGTCGCTTGTATGCCGCCACAAATTGTGAGACTGTGGGATTGTTATTCCAGCCCCCTTTAGAACGCACAGCGGCAAAGAACAGTTCAATGTGGTCTTGTAAAAGCTTGTAAGTAAGAAAGTAACTGAGTGGAGCATTGTCCTAGAGGAGGAGCGCGGATGCCAGACCGATGACACTTTCAATGGTCACCAGAAATCCTAGAAATGGAGTTCTTCTGGGCGTCCTGAAAATGGGAACACCTGATCCGTCAGTCAGCCCCCGAATGTACTCCTTGACTTCTTCGAAGAAGTTCATCCAGGTTCCCTTGTTGCTAGGTCGGAGCGGCGCTTTGAAACCATTGGCCACTGGGTTGCGTGAATTGAGGAAATCAAACAGTTTATCGAACATTCGAATAAATTTCACAGTTCCTTCTGAATTTTTGAACTGTGGGAGTTGCAAGTCTTCACGACAAAAATCTATGGCGTCAGCCACACTAGTGCTTAAAGTCTGGACAGCAAGGTTGACTTTCATCTTCTGTTTCTGCCACTGAATGTGTGCAGCACGTAGTTTTGTTGCTGCATGCAGGCCTTCTTTTCCTTGAAGTTCTTGTAGCTGGACAATGTAGTCCCAGCTCACCGATGCGCCTGATGCGTCCCTGAGGCACCCAAGAGCAGAAAGAGCATTTCTAACTAACTTGACTATGTGACATGCGTTTAAAAGGCAGTACACCTTTTCTTGTGTTACAGGGTGAGGGAATGATGTTGACATCGCTGATGCATCTTCAACGGAAGCCCCCAGGTCTTTGAACATTGTAAAGTTACAACGGAGACCATCACATGTCAATGATGTCACGTGCACTCCTGTCTGATGCAACTTTGTCAGACAGAGCTTCACAATGTTCACACGCCCTTTTCCTGAAAGACCATGCATTGATCAAAAAATAGCCACACGGTACCTTCCAGTGGGAGTCCAGAGATACGAGCATGAAAACAAGGGCTTCAGACGCAACTGCGTTACTGTCATCGTCCACTTCATTGCCAATATCCACGTAGCCTCGAAATTTTTTGCCGTCCCATTCAAGGTGCTTTCTAATGGCCATTTCATCAACAACAAGGTTGCAGAGAAGCTGTTTGTTGTTCTTCTTAGCCTTATTGGCTTTTGCTCGGATGGCGTTGATTGCTTCGCTTGTGAATCCAGGTTCTCCGTTAATAGAGCTATACCATTTAGTTATAGTCGATGGATGTGGCAAGGAACATTGAAATGTTTCTCTGACATAGTTATATGCCTTTGTCGAGTAAAACTGTAGCGTGAGTGCAAATGCACACAGTGCAGGAGAATATTTGTCTCGGCTTAACTCAACAGACGACTTGTCGCCTTCACTGGACGTTTGCTTGAGCAACCGTTTTGTAACTTCCAAGGGGATCCCCGTGAAGCACCTTTCAAGCATTGCCGAGGCATCTTCTGAAATGAGCTGCTTGTGCTTGAGGTCATCAATTTTTTCATTAAATGAGCTGACCTTCCTTCTTAACCGACGTTTTCGTTCAAGGCTGAGCTTCAGCTTTCTTTTCACTCTAGCCGCTTAATCTGTGCAAGCATCCAGTTTCCTCTTCAGTGTTTTTGGCGTGTCAAGGACTGCATAGCTGTGCTTGGCGACCTGAAAACAAAACAGTGAAAGTTAAAGCTGTTGAAAAAGACACCTTTCACAAAAACCACTCATCATATGACAGTCTTTGTAAAGCAGGCATATGTTGGTAGCTTACGTGGTTTAACGCAGAAAATAAGCAACCAGGTGCACAGGGGAGTTTAGAAATTAACTTTGTCCCCTTCATTTACCGGTGCACTCGAGAAATGCCACATCAGACAGGAATTTCAATATTTTCCCTGGATTAGAAAAACTGGTGCTGCAGCCATGAATAAAACCAATGTTCTGCTATGACTACAGAACATACCAGGACTACTAACTTGATTCAAATTGGATGCTATCCTGGTGTGCATAATGTATACAAAGTTATCGTGTTGGTTACCACGAGATTGCAAGAAAGTGGCCTGACTAACATCGGACTAGTTACATTCAACCGAGGACGGACCAAGTAGCTGCATTCGGGCAGCGTAGTACAAAAAAAGGCAACTTGCATGGGCTGAGTTCTCTTGCACCGTGGTTGGAGTGTTGTCGTTTGGCTGTTCCACTGGGGTCACATCCACAATGGCAGTTCTCTGCTTAGGCGGCTTTCCCTCAGCAGTCCTCTGAAACAGCCGTGTTTCATTCACAGTTATGCTTATTTATTACTGCGAGTGCAAAATGCTGTAAGTAAAAAAATAGTCTGGCGTCAAGCATATTATAGCAGTCTAGCAGTTTCTGAATTATACCACTAGCATCTTAGACAGCTATCATTGCACCACTGAGATATATAACGCAGATAGGAGCATTTCAGAAATTGAAAGAAAAAATTTGGCACTTAAAATTCAAGACCTCGCGCTTTGTAACGTAATGGACATGTTTTTCCAATTCCGTTTCATTGCTTACAGTACATGGTTTTCAGAGTAAGTCTGCCAAACAATTCCTCAACCACAGCTTCTCACAGCTACATGTAGATTTTATTGTGCTCCGAGCTAATTTGTAGGGCGTCTTTTTTAAAGGGACTCAGCAGATGAACTACGAAAGAAGGTAGCGCCCATTCAGGCGATTTCAGTGTCTAATAAACGTAGCATCAACTGTAGGAATAGTTATACGAACGCTAAACGAGCGAACTGCGATGGCCGAACAGTATGCTTTTTTTTTCGGGCCGCTATACCAAAATGCCGAGATGTCGTACTATACCTTTTCCAGGTGCTTCGGGAAAGAAAACAAGGTGGGCACGGCGTCAGGCTGTAGCCTAGTTCGTGCGCCCGTTCTGTCAAAACAGTTGTCAGTAAAGTGGTCACTGCAGAGTCTGCTACCTGGGGATGGAGTCCATTTGTCCCTTCTTAAGTTTACCACCCAACGCCGGTATAAATCCGGCTTAGAGCGTGGGAACCTGCGTAACAAGAGCCACAGCTTAACAACGACACTGATATGACGTTTGCGTTTCGCTGCGTATCACGCACGTTGCACAGAATATTGTAATACTTACAAGTGGAACGTCTTCCCAGACGACTTCTCTGGTCTGCTGGTGCAGTTGACGGCGCAACAAGCAGGCATTTTTAGCGGAATGCGCGCCAAACCAGCCCATACGTAGCACGCGCTATGCTGGAACGGCGGCCATTTGTCCGACTTCCGGGACGAGCGCTCGAACTTCCGGCGGCCGCACGCCGGAGAGCTCGAAGCGCCATCCAGCACCCTAGTGGAGATCAGTGGGTACAGCTGATAAACAACACCACAGACGGTTTTCTGCGGACATCCGACGTTTTATCTGGAGCTTTAAGAGCTTCGTTTTCATAAACACGCCTATGAAAATGAGTCGATATTGGGCTGTCTTGCCTGTAAAGCACAAGCCAAATACCCTACAAGTTTTGCAAATGAGTTCTGTGAAACACGCAAAGTGGTGGAAATGCGCAAGCCTCTTCCGCCACCTTGTGTGTTTCGGCAGAACTCCTTTGGAATACTTGTGTCCATGTGCTTTCAGGTATGGATGAATTCACCCTCGCGCTGCCTATTGCTAGCTTCCTGGTTAGCTCAATTGATAGAGCGACCAAACCGGAAAGGCGTTGGGTGCGGGTTCGAACACCCCGGATCAGGACGAATTTTGCGGCAACTAAGACGCTTGCCTTTCTGAGAAATTCGTGTGCATTTACTTGTGGCTTCTTGCCGCAAATGGGTGGTTATCTTTTTTGAGATGGGATTTGTGTTCGGGTCTACATTTTCGGCAATGTATATTCTCATAAAACAAAAGCCTCCAAAATTACAAATAACAATAGTGTTAGTCGTGGAATCGGGTTCTCTTTATTGTCGACAGTCCCGTTTTTGTAACACAATCTACTTAGGGGGTCATACAAGTAGCGTGGATGTAATATACAAGATTTTGTAACTGTTCGTGGCATTCATGTATCTATGCGATTAAAAGAAATTCTAAAATTCATTGTTCAAGGTAAACAGTCTTAGTTTTTCGCGCTGTTTATCGGGAACATTCGATCGTTACCGAATTGTCCAGTTTTAACTACTTTAGAAAATAGTTTTGCTTCGCCTGCGTAAGACGTCTAATTACCAAGCGAGAGCAGGGAAAAGCACTAGTTTTTATACAATATGCCAGTGCCATACAACAATGCTTCAGTAGAAAAGGGTAGATTTTTTTACTATCCTTCTTCAAGACATCCACGGCCACTGTTGTCATATCCATGGCAACATTTGACCATTACCGTGTAGAAATTGTCCTTAGTTGTGTCATTATCTCGAAGCATAGAGGCAGGTGGCCTGTAAGGTAATTCTTTGAAATAATGCTGGTTCACGCATGAAAGTATAGTTCACTTGGTCAACGAGTGTCGTGACGGGTCTTCTCGTTGCGCTCCTTGATTAGGTGCAGGGGCAGAGGGTGTAGAGAAAACTGTCCTAGCATATTTTGTGCTTTTACTCAAGGCTGGCTAAATTTGATCCTTTCTGTGGCTCAGGCAGAAAGGAAATGCTGGGGCCAAATGAATATGGAGGCCTTCCCTGGTAGGACCTCAATACCAGGAAAACAGAATTTGTAAGAGTGTAATCACGCAAAAATGAATAGGATTGAATAAAAAGCCTCGAATAAAACGTAGTTGAGGAAAGCACATGTTTCTTACTTGCGAGGTAACTGTGAGTTATATCTTGTTGCAGGTTAAAAAATGCAACAAAGTAGAAAATCTTACATTACCATGACAGTAGTCGATTTTCAAAGTTCTATGGAGGTCTTCCTTATTATGCCTGTGTAAATTGTAAAAACAGGCTTAGAAATAGACACAACTGGGGTCACGGGATCACACATTTTTCACAAAGACCCTTGGAAGCCCTGGGTGTAAGCTGAAGAACATTTTGCTTAAACGAATAATTCATGCCCGCAATGCGGAAACACTAAAAGGCTGTTAAATATTGCGTTGCGAGCCCCTACGCCGTGGTCCAGTGGCTAAGGTACTCGGCTGCTGACCCACAGGTCGCGGGTTCAAATCCTGGCTGCGGCGGCTGCATTTCCGATGGATGCGGAAATGTTGTAGGCCCGTGTGCTCAGATATGGGTGCACGTTAAAGAACCCCAGGTGGTCGAAATTTCCGGAGCTCTCCACTACGGCGTCTCTCATAGTCATACGGTGGTTTTGGGACGTTAAACCCCACATATCATCAAATATTGCGGTGCTCTTTCGCGGCCGCTATCTAAATCACCGAACACAGGTGCACAATTTGAATAACACATTTTAGACCTTGACTTTTACTGTAAATGACACAATCATTTTCATTCTAGAGCTATTACAGAAGCATTCTTGAGTGCGCGTTTAAAGATATTTTAATACACGCCTTCTCAACAAAGCCGCCACGTTTGAAGTTCTAATGACAACTCTATCCGGGCTTCGTAAAAATGTTATGGATACCATTCTCAAGCAGCGGAATTCGGAGACGATGCAGCGTATCCAGGAGGAGGAAACGTGCCTTGGGGCCAACAACCGCGGCATCTCGCGGCAAGACTTCTACTTTCTTGGTATTGGATCCCCCAGTTTCACCGCTAGATGACGCTAAAAATATAAAAAAAACACGAGAGCGCGAATCAATTTTCTATTATATCATATTGTGGCGTTTCATTCGATAGCCGTATCGAAATAGCAACATTTTTTTTATCCCCATATTTACAAAAATCTACGTGAAATTATAACTTTAACTTTGTTTATGAAAAACCGAGTCATTTTTATGTTTCGTGATTGCTAACAATAAACGGCATTTTCATGAATTGTTGAAATGTGGTTGGTCCTGGCAAGAGTTGCAGTATGTCCATTAGGAGCCCTCTTTAAAAATGCGAAGATAGCTGCCCTGTTTTCAAGTGCCGACGCATGGTAGCAGTTCTGATACCTAGAGCGATACCTAAATGCAATAACATGCTACTGACTGCAAGTAATCAACTTCTTCAATGAGACACATAGTACGCAGACGTTTATATTGTCACAGGTAATGGGTATGAGCCATCAACTGTAGGTGGAATCCTTGGGAAGTGAAGAAAGAAGAGGGCTTTTGCGTCCTGGTCTGAGGGCAAGCAAGACGTCGTTTCGTCGCTGTCTGTAATTACGTTCGTTGCAATATGTATAGACATATATATGAAGCAAGAGAACAACCTCCTCTGATAGATGAGTTTACATCTGCTGACAAGGTTCAGTGATGTAAAATTACAAGCGCTCGCCTGTTAGGTGCGTTAAATAAAATGACAACTACTGACTATGCAGAAGAAATGAAAGAACAAAAGAAAAAACGAGTGCCACAAGCAAAATATCTAGCGTTCTACAACCTTGAATGAGACATTGAAAAATAGGAAAGTTAGAATGACTACATTTATCATAATGAGAATTAACTCACACTGAAAGCAAGAGAAGTACAGGACACCAAATTCATAGCAATTGCGGTATAATTGTGGAAATGTTTGCCGGTCAGCTGCCAGCTCGTAAGAAGATCACTAGCAACGTGATGCCAGCAGGGCAAGAAGGGTGTTGTACAGTCCCTGTTATGGTTAAGGGCTTACATTTCCAGGATTAAATGCTAAGATATACACGAATTAGTGGACGCGAAGAAGATCGCCGCCGTATAACTAAAGCGCCCAACGCCATACTCGTACATTCAAAGGTCGCAGATTTGGCCCCTCTCGGCGGCAAGCTGTCTTCACGTTCATATGCTGATTGCTTCACAAAACACTCCTTACACTTATCTTGTCTTGATTGTCAGTTCTCACAAATGTCAGGTCTAAAAAAAAAAAAGACAGCGCTTCTAGTTCCCTTTGTTTGGGTGACATTGTTATCAGCTTACGAAACCATATTCATAGTAGCTGACTTCACCGCATTTTTTTTTTTTTTACTGAGGAATGTGACAGCCTGTAAAATTCCCTGTTTTTTTTTTTTTTTTAAACGGGACAGGCGTGATGCTTGCTTCTGCCGACACCCGAATAGGCTGCCTGGCGGATCCACTTCTCCCAGCATCGGATGGCGCGGCTTTCTTGCAGGACATGAACGACGTGTTCGGCTGCCTGCAGATCTTTGGCTACCGGTTCCCATACTTCCGCTACTTCCGTACGCCTACCTGGCGCAAATTTGAGAAGTCCATGGATGCGTTCACTCTGTAAGTGAGAGCTAGGGCCCAGAGGTGACATAGAACACGCGTAGCCATACCAGTCAACAAGGCTTCCTCAACGCAAATAGACTGACATTCCCGTGCTGGAAAAGATTTATTGAGCAAGAAGCGTATGTTACAAGGGCCTTGCAAAACTCTTTAAGCGTGGTGAGAATAGGTCGCCCATCGGTAGTGAAAGCTCCCGAGAACACTCGTGGCAAATATTAGAGAGTTTTAGTACTGCGTACGCTGCGTACGTGGCGGCGTTGCGTACGTAAGGACGCCACGTTCTGCGTAGTGCGCATGCGCAGACCGCAACGCGCACGTATCGCGTTACGTACGCAGTCACTTACGCACGCATGAGATGCATGCGTGCGTACGTATGAACTGATCGCGCCGCTCTCGAACAAGTTCGCGACAGCACGAGACTTCATTTTGCAAAATGGCGGCATTGAAGGCAAGCACCGACCGGCTCTGTGGCTTAAAATATGGCCATAATCTGGCTATAACACTTGGATTGGCTCACATTGGCTGTCAACAACACGTGCTTCTGTTTTGATATACCAGATGGCGCAACACGCTTTACGCTCGGTACGTACGCGGGTACTACGGCGTACTAAAAGCCGATTAGTGGCAAACGACGCCACGTAACGCAAGGCGCTTGCGTGATGCGTACGTAGCACCATTCCGCAGTACTAAAACTCTCTATTGTAGCGCAGCACGTGGCCTGGAATTTACAATAAATTCTAAAGGTCAGTTTAACATCACTGCATTTTATCCTAACCGGTGACGCTACAGTATCAAATATCCCACGTTCCGGGCCCAGTATAAAATATTGGCTGATTCGAGCATGGCGCACTAGGTCGTTACTGTGGTCGCCATGGGAGGCACCGAAAAGTAACAAATCGGCCGATAAAAAAAAAGTGCTGAAGGTCACAAGGTTCACGTGACGTATATTCTTTCGCCATGCGATGCCCTATGTCATTCTTTCCAGTGCTTTCGTATTGACGAGAGAAGAAATAATGAAACTGCAGAGTGTGACAAACTGAAAATAAATTTCGAAGTCAATTTTTATTTGCAAGACAAAACCGGAAGGTCTCCAAGGCTAAAAGCCGTGAGGAAGGCTTCACAAAGGCCCTAGTTACCTGTACAAACGCATAGCAGTAGTGCAGAAATAATTACAAGTACATAATTTGGAAGTACACTATAAAAACATGACCAATACATTCTAAAAGGAAAATGATTTTTGAATTGATTATTTTAAAACACCTAAGGTAAATGTCTAAAAAGAAGGGTTTCCGAAAATCAATAAACACCGTGCATAGAGCATCGAAAACATTGACATTTGTAAATTTAAAAGGCACAAAAATACATATTTACGTGAACACACATAGATTCGTATCGGTAGTACAATGCAAGATGACAAGATGAAACACAACGCAATTTATGCACACTGGAGTAAACTATAAAAAGAAATGTTTGTAACCGCGCTCGTGCTGGACGGGTTTTAAAATTTTTATGGCAATGAATTTGTGAGGCAGTACGCTCATTTAAGGAGTGCCTTCCATGGGTACATAGAAAAGTGTTGCAGGGCCACTTTAGAGGGAAACCAAAGAAAAAGCACAGTTCTCCTCACATTAGCAAATACCATTTCATGATTCCGAAATCACTACTTTTGCCAAGAGAAGACGCTCGGTCACCAAGGAAGCAAGCGAAACAAAATTCATTTGCTGGCGCCGTCTTGAAAGTCTTACACCCAACGTCATTACGTACAGATTTTGATGACTCATACTAGCCCCTAATTAGTTTTTAATCGAACAAAGTGATGTATATTGTCAACTGAGCATGCCGTATACTTAACAGACCCAGTCTCAGGCAACTTCGACGAAGGATATACTTTGACGCCAAGTGCTCAAACGTCAGCGCGAAATGGTGAAAGGGAACTCAGACCTTCATCTCATTTTCCGCGAGCAAACGTATGGTGGTGAAATAATGACATTAGAGTTCTCAGAGCAAAACTTATTAGACTAAAACACTTTGGTGCCCCTTGAAGTTGTAACCGCAACTGTCACATACAATGGCTTCCAATAACCTAGAAACCTTTTGAGATTGAATTCTATAGATGACATTGGAATGTGGACCGTTCCATAAAAAAGCGTGTTTGACGCCTGTACATATTCCATGATGAACGAGAAAAATATCTGATTTTTGCTTTCGCAATTTCAATGCCCTGCAAACGGTTCACGTTCACCTCTAATTTGGGGTGTGTGGACTGATAAATGGTAATATCAACTAGCTGGCTGTTAAGAATGTTGAGTTTACCCCAACAAATATGCATTATTATACTTAAATAATCAGCACTTTCTATCAGACAAACACAAATCACGTTCCTGGAACAAGTAATCTACAAGCATATTCTAAAGCAGTAAATAAAAGGGAAAAAAAAACTAAAAGAAAAGTGCTGTGATGATCATACAATTTCCTCAAGACTTGATCTTCGAAGAAGGAATACATTGTGTCGACTTCCTCAAATAATACCGACGCAAAACTACCAAGTATAAATTCACTCAACTAGTGTCATTCGCAGTATACTACGCCATAGCACATTTTAACAAAGAGAGCTTACAGCTCGGCTGGATGTCATATATATGTTGCTTACGATAGATACAAAAAGGAAACGCTGAAACGGAACAATATTTTAAACATATTGCTACGGGGCGCCACAAATGAACATTCTAGAAAAGAGGACGATGTTTAGCGCGAGCTCGTGCAGACCGGGCTCCATATTGTATGCCTGCCTGTTTACCGAAAGTAAAGGCATTTTTCAGACGCCTTCTCCCCGTAACATTTTGGTGGAGAGTGCGGGTCTTCCCACAGTCAACACCACGACGATTCTACGCAGCGGACGTTCCTTGGCTGCCTGTGCGATGCCTGATCAAGACGAACACGAGGATTCTTCGGAGACTACCCCAAGTGTGCTTCGTCCAACTACGCAGCCACCAACAGCACCGCATCCAGCTGCTACTAACCGCACCATCGTCCTGACTCAACCGCGTGACCCAGGCACATTTTCGGGCAGTGACAGTACTGACGTGGAGGAATGGCTTCAGCTGTACGAAAGGGTGAGCGCTGTTTACAACTGGGATCCGACGCTCATGTTGGCCAATATTATTTTGTACCTTGATGGTACAGCTAAACTTTGGTTTTCCAACCACGAGGAAGATATCACGAGTTGGGACATCTGTAAGCAAAAACTCATCGATCTCTTCGGCAAGCCCATCGGGCGTCGTCGTGCTGCGCAGAAAGAACTAGCGTCCCGACTCCAGTCCGGCACCGAGTCGTACGTCACATACATACAGCATGTGCTCGCCCTCTGCCGGAAGGTTGATGACAAGATGCCGGAATCTGAAAAGGTCGCGCACATCCTCAAAGGAATCGCCGATGACGCTTTCAATCTCCTCGTATATCGAAACTCATCGACCGTAGATGACGTTATTAATGAATGCCGACGCTTTGAAGACGCGAAAAGTCGCCGCATCACTCCGCACTTTTCGCGTCTTCCCAACACGGCTGCAACATCCACCTGCGAGGACGCCCGTTTGGCACCAGCCCATGCTGCTTCCGACAATATCGTGCGCATCGTGCGCCACGAAATCGAAGCAGCATCTCCTCTGTCTGACCAAGTCCAGGCCCCTGACGACTCTCGCGCCACGATTTCCTTAATCAAGAGTGTCGTACGCCAGGAACTAGCCAACGCCGGACTTCAGACGCTATGCCCCGTTAACCGACCTGACTACCGACTGCCCAGTACACCTAATATGTCCTGCGGACCGAACAACCGCCCACGTTACCGGAACCCGGCAGAATGGCGAACTTCCGATGACAGACCGATCTGCTTCAACTGTGGACGAGTGGGCCATATTTCACGTCATTGCCGCACTTCCTGGGGTTGGCAGCCATGGTCGCATTATGCCAACACCCGACGCCCACTTGCTGGCTCTCGGATGCCGATCTACACGGCACAAGATGATGCTTCGCCATCCAGGCCCGCCCAACCAAGCCGCTCTCCGTCACCCTCTGGACGCATGTCCCGCTCAACTAACCGACGTCGCTCCCCCTCGCCCTCCTACCACCAGTCCTCGGAAAACTGACGGGCGCAGCTCCTAGAGGTGAGCCTGCTTCGACGACCCGACCCAAAATTCCTCTACACACGATACCCGGACACAACAACTTGATTAAAGTAAATGTTGACGGTACTTCTGTGGCAGCACTCATTGACACCGGCGCTCACATCTCAGTCATGAACTCCAGCCTTTGTGCTCGACTCAAGAAAGTGGTCACTCCTGCTCCGATCACTCTTGTCCGAGTAGCTGATGGTGCAACACCAGCGGTCACCGGGATGTGTGCCGCCCGTGTCACTGTTGCTGGACGTCATACCACTGTTCTGTTTTACGTACTGGACCACTGCCCACATGACATCATATTGGGACTCGATTTTCTGTCGGAACATTCCGCCCTAATTGACTGTTCTGCTGGTGTTGTTCAGCTCGTCCTACCACACGCCGTTGACCCTCCTGATCCTGCGCCGCCAAAGCTATGCTCCGCCGACTTTGTTCGCCTATCTTGCCGAGCTGTGACGTATATCGACGTCTCTTCTGATCCACCTGTGGCTGACGGCGATTATGTCATTTCACCTAATCCTACAGTACTCTGTTCGCTCAATATTGCGTTCCCTCACACCATCATCACAATGAAGAACAACGCGGCATGTCTCCCAATTGTGAATTTTGGACTTTGCTCTGAAGTGCTGCCACGAGGAATATCCCTTGCAACCCTTGCCCCGGCCGGCGACTTCCACATATCGGCCTTAACAGAGGATACACCGTCATCTACAAGTATTCAGTCGCTCAGTACACTAGACTGCATAACTGGAATGATTGCCTCTGATCTCCCGGCCGAGCATGTGTCTGCGCTTCGTGGCCTTCTTGCGTCGTATGAAGACGTCTTTGATCTCTGCGACCGACCCCTAGGTCAAACGACCGTCGTAAAACATCGGATCAACACCGGTGATGCAAATCCAGTACACCGGCGACCCTATCGAGTTTCCTCCACCGAGCGCCACGTGATCCAGCAAGAAGTCGACAAGATGCTTGCCCGAGACATCATTGAACCTTCTTCAAGTCCTTGGGCTTCGCCCGTTGTGCTTGTGAGAAAGAAGGATAACAGCTGGCGCTTCTGTGTCGACTACAGAAATCTTAACAAGGTTACGAAAAAAGACGTATATCCTCTGCCGCGGATAGACGACGCTCTTGACTGCCTTAGTGGCGCAAATTATTTCTCTTCCATCGACCTTCGTTCCGGGTACTGGCAGATATCAGTTGATGACCTGGACCGTGAAAAGACGGCATTTATAACTCCCGACGGGCTCTATCAGTTCAAAGTAATGCCGTTCGGTTTATGCAATGCCCCGGCTACATTCGAACGAATGATGGACGCTCTTCTTCACGGTTTCAAGTGGTCAATCTGCTTATGCTACCTTGATGACGTCATTGTTTTTTCGCCAACTTTCGAAACACACCTCGAGCGTCTCTCAATAATTCTTTCGGTTTTCCGCAAAGCAGGGCTCCAACTAAACTCGTCGAAATGTCACTTCGGCCGCCGGCAGCTTACTGTCCTTGGACACCTTATCGATTCTTCTGGTGTTCGTCCCGATCCTGAGAAAATCCGTGCCGTCAAAGATTTCCCTGTGCCGACCTCTGCGAACGATGTTCGAAGCTTTCTGGGCCTTTGTTCTTACTTTCGTAGATTTGTGCGGAATTTTGCTGACGTCGCACGACCACTCACGGAACTACTAAAAAAAATGTGACTTTTGTGTGGGGACCTGAACAAACCAGAGCATTCGTTGAACTGACGAGTAGACTTACGACGCCACCGATTCTCGGCCACTTTGATATATGCGCTCCAACGGAAGTGCGTACCGACGCCAGCGGCCACGGCATCGGAGCCGTTTTGGCACAACGACAGCATGGCTGCGAGCGCGTTATTGCATACGCTAGCCGTCTTTTATCGCCAGCAGAGCGAAATTACTCCATCACAGAACGCGAATGCCTCGCACTCGTCTGGGCAGTGGCTAAATTTCGGCCTTATTTGTATGGACGCCCGTTCACGGTTGTCACTGATCACCACGCTTTATGCTGGTTGTCGTCCTTAAAAGATTCTAGTGGACGTCTCGGCCGGTGGGCTCTACGGCTACAGGAATATTCCTACACGGTTGTCTACAAATCAGGTCGCCACCATGAGGATGCTGATTGCTTGTCGCGTCATCCAGTAGACCCAGCAGACCATTCTGAGAGCGATGAGTCTACTTGCGTTTTGGCACTTTCCGCGTTTAGCAACATCGGAGATCAGCAACGCCGTGATCCTCACCTCAGAGATATAATCCTTCGGCTTAGTGGTCCCACAACTCCTCCTTCTCTCCGTATGTTCCTGCTCCAAGATGGCGTCTTATATCGCTACAGCATGCATCCTGATGGACCTGAGCTGCTGTTGGTCATACCACAACATATGCGTCAGACTGTCCTTGCACAGTTGCATGATATTCCGACAGCTGGTCACCTGGGAGTTTCAAGAACTTATGACCGCGTTCGACGTCGCTTCTTTTGGCCCGGTATTTACCGATCCGTCTGCCGTTACGTCGCCTCATGCAAATCCTGTCAACACCGCAAAAAACCAGCAACCCTTAAAGCGGGACGCCTTCAACCCATTCAGATCCCATCCGAACCATTTTATAGGGTAGGGGTTGACTTACTAGGACCGTTTCCTTTATCGGCGAGCGGAAACAAGTGGATAGCAGTCGCCACGGATTACACCACTCGGTATGAAATCACACGGGCCCTTCCTACCAGTTGTGCGACCGACGTCGCTGACTTTCTTCTAGAAGACGTCATATTACACCACGGCGCTCCTCGGCAACTGCTCACCGATCGGGGTCGCTACTTTTTATCACAAGTTATCCAAGACATATTGCACTCTTGCGCTACAAAGCACAAGTTCACAACAGCGTATCATCCTCAAACCAACGGGCTCACGGAGCGGCTAAATAGAACCATCACGGACATGCTCGCCATGTACGTTTCTTCCGACCATCGTGACTGGGACTTCGCCCTTCCATTTGTAACTTTTGCCTATAATACGCCTCGGCATGACACTGCAGGTTTCTCGCCATTTTTCCTCCTGTACGGACGAGAACCTACGTTGCCTTTCGACACGCTCCTTCCTGCCGTTGGCCACACGTCTGAATATGCCCGCGATGTGATTTCTAGAGCTCTAGAGGCACGTGAGATTGCTCGCCGGTGTCTGAGCGATTCGCAGGAACGACAACGACAGGTCTACAACGCGTGCCATCGTGATGTCCACTTCAGTCAAGGTGACACAGTCCTTCTCTGGACGCCGTCGCGGCGAGTTGGCCTGTGCGAAAAGCTGACTTCACCGTACTCGGGTCCGTACCGTGTGGTGCGCCAAGTCACCGACGTGACATATGAAATTGAACCTCTTAACGCCACCAGCGCGCGATCGTGTTCTGACATTGTTCACGTCACTCGGCTGAAACGATTTTACTCAGACCAACCAAGCACCGAGACGGTGCCTTCGCCGCCGGGGGTGATGCTACGGGGCGCCACAAATGAACATTCTAGAAAAGAGGACGATGTTTAGCGCGAGCTCGTGCAGACCGGGCTCCATATTGTATGCCTGCCTGTTTACCGAAAGTAAAGGCATTTTTCAGACGCCTTCTCCCCGTAACAATATGAACCACACTCTTTTTTTTTGTTGCAATGCTGTTTTGTTTGTTGCAACATGGTTGCTCGCCCAACTAGCTCTACGTGTAACGTTGCCAGAGACCGTTACCAAGCATGTGTGCAGCACACATGTATACTTTACAGTATAAGTTAGCGGGGCGTGGTATTAAAGAAAACTATGAATTTCAGCTCCGACTAGTGATGTCTTTTGATTCAATGAATAACTTTGTAGCTTTCAAGAAACATTAAGAGACGCTGCTGTTAATTGAAGGCTGCTTCCAGGATAAACAGGCTTTTTGGTTTTTATGCGATCTCGTGTCTTTAAAATTTTCTATTTTGTTGTACATTCTCACGTCGGCGTATACGCAGCATCCCATTCCATCCGCATTTCAGGCGACTTTTCAAGCACATTCAAGAGGCTGCAAACCGACTTCAGACGAGACACAGCGACGAAGAATACACCATCTTGGAACATCTCCTGGTGGAGAAGAAACTTGGGTTCGGCGAAATACTTTCCTTCATGAGTGACTTTATAATGGGTGGCGCTGACACGGTAAGCAAAATACATATGTTACTTGTAAGCATGAGTAGGCCAATCCTGTTGTCTACCTCAATAGCACCCTCAATCGCACTAAAGTGTGTCGGTATAGCAGGACATTATGACCGTGGCTCTTGTAATGAAGCGATTTCTTTCAAACTTCATGGTAAATGCAAGAGAAATACCCGATCTGGGCGGGTACCTGTGCGCATGAATCGTGCGCGAGGCTGAACGAAGCCACTGTGAGCAGGGCAGTTCATACGCCTTGGTCATCCGATTTGAAACCTTGAAATAACAGGTGCAAGAAGATTCTGCAAAAGAAATGGCGGTTTCAATTTAAAGATCATCTTGTAAGGCGAAGTTGAAACGTCTCTATTAACTAAAGTGCGGTCATAAGCATATTGAACATACTCCACTTCTCTGCAAATGCTGCGTTACATTAGAACGAGCATTGAGGTAGTTTTCAACCGAACACCCATCCACATAACCTTACTGCATGGCCGTGTAACCATAGAGAAATAAAGGTTAAGAGTGGACACTCCCGTAGACCCCAGCGGCCCAATCGACCCTAGCACACCTAGTGGTTGGTGAGAGCAAGTGGCGTGCGCTTCCTGTTTCGGTTTCACTGGCGCAAATTTAGAATTACTTTGCATAACCGACGTTTGGTTATGACGAAAGTTCATGATTTCAGACCACTATTCATCGCCCAAATGGATAGTTTTTGTAGGTCGTTTTGATTTAGCGATTCCCTGTTTTGTTTTGTTCAGTGGTTCGTGCGAATCGGTCGTGACGTAATTTTTATTTCGATTAAGTTATAATAAAAAGAGATGCAGGTAATGATAATTCACTACGGTTTTATTCATCGCGCTTGTGTTTTTCTTTTGGAACGAGTGATCAGTGTATATATCAGTCAAAAAGACAGAGTATCCGTAATGTTTTATTCAAAGGCAAGGTAGAGTCTGAGAATATAAAAAGCACAATATGACTAAGGTAGACAACAGATGCATCTCGCCTTACAAATAAATTGTAACAAATACAGAGAGAACACAGACAACGCACACATCGCTAGAGTTGGCAGAAGCCGAGAAGCTGGCGAAGTATGACACACCGGGCCAGTGGGTAAGTAAGGATCTATGGCAAAAACACAGCGCACAATGCTGATGAAGAAGGAAGAAGTGACATATACACAGCAATGAAGTCGCGAATCACGCCTGGGGTTAACCGAAATAATGGATATAAAAAAAGAGCACACAGAAACCACACGACACAATATAGCAGAAAGGCAAAGGTGCAGTGTGCTGGCTGTGCTTAAGAACAGCTAGTTCAAAATAAAAAAAAAGCAGACTTGATGCCTGCTTGTCCTCAGAAAGGTAGGGCTTTGCAGCTTGCTCACTACGTGAAAGACAAGCTTTATGCTACAACACTGGCAGGTCTTGCGGCTCTTCTTATGCGTCACCTTCATCAAAAACTTAAGATCCCAAGCGATTTGCGTCTGGGTGTTGCTGTGACGCTTGCGAGCTAAAATATGTTGTAGTCATCACTTATCCAGAATTGTGGACCTTAATTGGTGCTACGAGAGCGGTATTACAGGGCTAATAAATAGCAGAAGGAAACCACTTTGGCTCATTATTTTTCACAAAGGCTCTACATCGTACGTTATCACTCACAAGCTATATAAAAATAAAATGGCAGCGTCCGCAGCCCCATCAAACGCTACAAGTTTGAGTATTCTTTTGAAAATTTTGATGGGCGAGATGAGGAGGTTGATGAGAAGCTAAAATACGAAAAGCGTGATAACGTGAACCGTGCCCACTTCACACTGTGTTCCTTACCCGCTCGAAGACATTTCAACAAGCGGTTTTGTTATCGATATATTACTTGAGCTGGAGAGATAAAGCATACTCAGTGACCAAGCGAGCCACAGTAAAGTGTACAGTTCGCCCGCATTTGCTACAAAAATACAGACAGGATACCCAACATTCTTTTTAAGGTTATGCAAGTCACTTCGAGCGAATACACAGTGTCCCTACTCATTATAGCGGGTAACCTAAACAATGTATGCAACGAAGGAGTGGCTAGTCCAGTTGAGCTGAATATAAGCATATAAGACCATAATGAAGTCTGCTGTAACGAAGTAATAACATAACAAAGCTATTGCAGGATTCGGCTCAACTCGAATACTTTAGAGTAAACCCGCAGCTAATTGCTAACCTTTGAACTTGTCAAGCTGTATGCCTGAGATTGAAGACTGGAACCTAACCCTATCTAAGTTTCGGTTCACAAAACGCACATGCCAACATAAACGAACCCGGCAAAACATTTTCAGAAACTTCGCGCGACACCCAGCAGAGCAGAAATGAAAATCGCCAACACTTGACAGATGGTGATACAAAACATCGCACACTTTCAGGTGATGTGCAGTGGCCTCAATTATGGCAAGAAAGTGAGATTCAAGTTGTTGTACGTATGCAAAAGCTGCTTCTGATGGCACAGTGAGATTCCCAAAAAGTTTGCTGGGGGCGTGGTATGCTTTGAGCATTGTAAAATACTGGTGGGTACCCTTAAGCGTCTCACTGTCGTCTTTCAGTAACTGTGGGCAACTGCAACCGTCACATGCATTCCGAAGGAAGTGTTTGATGAGAAAACCAGCTACATAATATGCAGCGGAGTCATCGATAATATGGGAGTGAACGTTTGTCGCAAGTTCAGAGAGATCGTCTAGAGCGGGAAAGTCGTCAGGCTGTGGCTGTGCACACTCCTCATTATCCACAAGAGACGCACTGGTGAGGGAGAATGGCGAGAGCTGCTCCTGGAGGAGGTCACATTCATCATCCTTGACATTTCCGTATTCTGACAGCTTGAAGAGTTTTCTTATACAGATGTGCTTCAGGCCACAAATAAATTGTGCTACATTGGGGTTGGTGTTGCAACCCTGTTTTTGCTTAATGTGGCCAAATATGTTCTCCAGAGGATCCTGTTGAAGCCTGCGTGTTAACAGGTATTCAAAATTGTAATTTTTGGAGAGGTCGTCCCATAGTTGACAAATTGCCTGAATTGTAATTTGCCAACCTATGATGATTTGTGGTTGACGTCTGCCAACAAACTGCCATGATGCAATACAGGGAAGCTGGCCTCGGAGGAAGTCAATCAGCTCTGAATCATTTTTCATGATTGCATGCCGCAGCTTTTGCGAAGTTCTTTTTTTACTCGAGCTGTTCAAGGCATCGAAAATCCTGTCCATACGATCACAAAATTGAGCTGTAGTGATGGCCGAGGCAGGCAGCACCTTCGCATACACCGATGCCGTGATAGCAATCGAAACTGATGCACTGAGGACCTGAGTTGCTCTGCTGACCTTCATATTAGAAAAAGGTTTCTGACGAACGTGCCGTTCAGTCAACTTTGGAGCCAATCGCAACCGCAACTCATGTGAGGATTGGTAAAGACTTACAATGTGCGACCAGTTAACGATGTCATCCCCAATGTATAACTTGTGTGCTTGGACATTATTGCGCGTTGTTTTAATTAAATGCGGAACATCAAAAATGTAATATACCCGCTCACCATTAACTTCAAAAAAAGGCTTTGCTACAGTCACTCTTAGTTGGTTAGCGAGACTTACATTTGAACTGCCCTGGTCACAAATGACTGCTTTCACTGCAATATTAATGCTCCTAAGCTCCAAAATGAGTGACACCCGCAAGTTATGCATAACAGATGATGGTGTTGATGTGTGCCCTATAGTAAAAGCAACCGGTTGAACCCACTTTCTCGAAACGCCAACAAGAAGAAAAACCAGTGCTCGATCAGCGATGGTTGAAGTGCGATGAGTGGCATCATCTGTAAAAGCCTGGACAACGTCTCTTGCAGCATCATAGTACAAATTCTTTTTGAGTGCTATTTCGTCGAAAACTGAAGCGCACACTCGGTCCCGTTCGTTCCAAGCTTGAGTATTTGTTGCAATGAAAGAAAGGATTCCTGGAACTATGCCTGGAGTCATCTTTACATTAGCTAGCCAGCTCCTTACTGAACGCCGAGAGGGCAAAGAAAAATATGGAGCCAGAAATCGGTATGCTCGCGGACCTCGGAAGTTTAAGTGAAGAGCAAATTTCTTGAACCACACGGGAAACCGCTTGCCCTTGCGTTTGGGCCTCAAGTGAACATGTGCAGAAAGAAGTTTAAAAACCTCCTCAGTGACGTGCGGTCGGATAACTTCAAGGGCCTTTGAAGTCGATGACGGTGCTTGGTGAGGCTGTCTCTGCAGTCTTTTGATAGTTTTCCGCTGTGCTGCTACTTTGGCTTGCAGATGTTTAATGGTTTGCTTGTACTTCATTGATGGAGACATTGTCGCTGGCACACAGGAACGCACTGCAATAAAGAAAAAAATGGATGTAAAAGCGAAGAACAACTAATCCCATACGAGCACTTTCCTCGCTCTTTCAGACCCAAGGTGCACAACTTTCTGTAGTGCAAAGTTTTCGATTCCACTACCTAAAAACAAACCATTCACAATGTTGACAATGCACAAAAAAATAAAAATCACTGAGAGCCCATCCTTACATTTTGTAAGTGCACACGTAGTGTTCATTTGAGGATAGTTTCCTCAGAATGTCCTAAACATAAAATAGCACATTAAAAACAGCTGCAATAAAAGCATAGTCACCATTTTCTCTAGAGGACTCAGGCGTAGAGCTGTTGGCGGAGACGTCTTCTGGAGGGTTTCGCGAAGCTGGTTCAGTGCCTCGGACAGTGCTGTCGGAACAATCTTGCGAGCGGCCTGCGGAAGTCTCTATATCAATCCACTCTGGTATTGAAGTGAACATACAACTTACCGGCCACACAAGTTCCTTTTGTGACAGCTGAATGACTGGTTAAGGTTTTCTCCGGCAAGACGAAGGCAGCGGAAATTCTTTCACCAGCTACAAGGGAGCTGCCACCTGCAGAGGTTTGGTCAACAGTCAATTTCGGTAAAAAAAAAAGAAATCGCGACACTGAACGCACCCTGTTCATCGGGG